TGATATAACATGTTGTTCTTTAGTTAGTATTGATGTGTGAAGCCATTTACTAGGGATGTCAATGGGGCGGGGCGGGGCCGGGGGGACACTTCCCCATCTTTTTCCCCGCCATCAAATTCATTCCCCGTCCCCGTCCCCGATCTCCGTCACGGGGAATTTCTATCCCCATCCCCGTTCCCCGCGGATCCCCGTTCCCCGCGGGGATCCCCATAGATCCTACATTTATTCATTAATATTTTATTTTTTTAAAATGTTTATATTTTCTATAAAAATAAAAAGCACAAAGAATTCACATATTTATTATGTTATTAAAAAATACTAGTATTTGACATTTATTATTTTTTATTAAAAATACTAATGGAACACAAAATAATAATATATTAAATTAACTATATATATTAAACATAAAGGAAATGACTAAAAAACCTAATCTAAAATATATATATTAAATTAACTATATTAAAATAATAGGCGGGGCGGGGTCCCCGCGGGGCGGGGGGTGTATTCCCCGTCCCCGTCCCCGAAATGCTCTCGGGGGAATTTTTCTCCCCATCCCCGCCCCCACGGGGGAAAATTCCCCATCTTTGGGGCCCCGAACGGGGCGTTCCCCGCGGGGATCCCCATTAACAGGTCCAAACTGACATCCCTACCATTTACTAATTCTTGTCATTTCCTTGAGTTGGGATAGTTTCTATTAGACTCAAAAGGCTTTACAAACCACATTTGACGCTTCAAAACTCGAGTTTAATAGAAAATGTCATAATTCTTCAAAATTTGCCAATTCATGATATAAATGCAATTTTACTCTAACTCTTTAACCGTCACGGATTTTAACACTTGTTAATAGTTTAACTTGACTTTCTTGACAATTCTGGAGCTGTTTGTGAACTTTATTTTCAGTTTTGGGCAACTATTTTTTTCGATTTTGGTTCTGTCCAATTTTGAAAGTTATGCTTAGAGTCAGATTTTGGATGAACCGAGTTTATTTTTGAATCTCGTGACCCAATTACAAACTCCCTCGCGGGTTTTGTTCGATTACGAGCAACTTTTTTCACTGTGTTTCAAACAGACCGTTCGTAGAAGTCTTGCTTCTACTTCTTTATTGACTGAACCGATTGCGGATTCGAGTTCTTGAGTACGTTTATAAATTACCATGAAAATATCATTTCATTCCGAGCATATTTTCCCGTACGTGTATTTTCCAAAACGCATTTTTATACCTTAATGCATAATTTTTAGTGCAGTTTTCTTTTACACTTTTAGTGCAGAATTTTAATATCATAATTACCATTTGATACGTGCTTACCTGTTGATTTTCATTTTTTGAAATATTGGATTGATTTTCATACGGTTTTCATACCGTTTTCCTTGTTATTTTTTACTCATTTGTTCATTGTGTAAGGTCTATTTTGGTGCTTTCGGTCATGTAACGTAACAAGTTGTTATGTGATTGAAACATACGGCTTATTTTGTGATAAATTCACATTATATTATAAGTTGTTTAGATGCATGTGATGTTTTGTGATACTTTATGCAGGAACTTCTGATTACGCGTTGCATTCGCAACACGCGTGTGTTTTTATCTTAGTTGGATATTGTTTCTGACTTTGTTTGTTTCTTGATGAGGCTTGCTCGACGCATACTCCTTGCTTCTCCATTGCTTTTCATCCGATTTTGATGATCTGCTTGCTTTTGATAGCCGCCACTACTGCTTTTACATTTTCCCACACTTTATCGCATTTCTTTACCGCTTTCTAGAGTGTGTGCTCGAAGTTGCTATTTAATGTCCTATAACAGGCACCGCTTTCTGTATGCTATTTATGTTTATTTAAAACCCTACCTTTGAAGTAGGTATTTTTCACATGTGATTACATTTGTGCCCGCATCATTCCCTCATCCCCCATGGAAGTCCTCAAAAGGAGGCGAGCAAAAGGGTTAGCAATCAACCCCAACAATTTTGTATGTGTCATCCTTAGCTCGTGATACACCACGACGCTTCAGAATTATACATATCTTGTGTATCGAGTCGTCAGGTGGAAAAGGGTTTTGCAACCAATCCCCGACACTTTGTCAGGAGTTCACATTAGCCAATTCATACACTCCGTGATTGTTTATATTGCCTTCTATCTCCTACTTCGATCTTCTATATCTTGGTTAGGTGTTTAGTCGCTTTGGATATCATATTTTTGTTTTACCTTCTATTACCTCTTATATGCTTCGGGTGATCCGCTCCAATTAGCTAAAGCATTTCTCTTATTTTATATTGCACTCCCTCTTGTTTGTCTTGGGTGATTCACTCCCCTTGACTAAAGCATTTTGCTTCTTTTCTTTACCATTTTATATGTGTGCTCTTTCGAGCTTGTTTGCTCACTCGCTTTCTATACCATGTTCCCTTAGGATGTTCTTATTCCTTTCGAATGCAAGTTAGACCTTAGGTTGCAAACCATGCATACTAACACTAAATAAATGTTTCCATTATGTTAACCCAAACCTTAGGACCACAGTTATGAGATAACATTAGGATTAAACATATGATAGTTTCCTGTAACTCTTTTCTTCCCCCTTTTTTCATTTGCATTTAAAACTAAAAATTTCTTTTTTTGGGCAAATCATAAAACATGCTAATCACACTTAAACCTTTTTTTCAAGGTAACAAAACACAAACCAATCAAACATGGTGTAACGGTAGAAATGTTGAGACTAAGCCATTGGATTGACTTAACTCACACAGATCAAATTAAAAATCTCCAATGTGCTTATTTGTTTCCAAAGGAATAGGAAAAGAGCGAATAACCCAAATAAGGGGGGAGAATCTAAGTTCGGGGGCTGGTTATGCAAAGGGAAGGTATTAGCACCCTAAACATCTATGGTGCTCTGCAATAACCTCTTTGTAAAACTGTGTATTTTGACTATAAGAGTTGTATAACAAATAGATTGTGGGAATGAGAAAAGAAATATTTTTTACAATTTTTATAGCCGTCGCAGTTGCGAACCTTTAGTGTCTATGTACCACCTTCTGTGCAATAGGGGATCAGGGTACTCGTAGTTCACCTTTAAAAATTTTAAAACAACAAATGTGCTGGTTAATTTTAAGAAAAGAGGCATCATCATTTTATCCGAGTGGAAAAACATACTTACTACCCACGATTATGAGAAAGGAGAATTTGCGTCATCTCAAAGTGGAGGATATGGCCTGGATTTTAAAATCAATAAAACCTCGCTCAACCCCCAAGTGGAAAATATCTCACTTCACTACATATCATAGAATTATATTAGCTCGCATCACAACAAGGATCGAAAAAAAGCTAATCTTTTGAAAAAATTTTGAAGTAAAAAAGCCAAAGTGACAAAATGGTTTGAATGAGATTGATTGACTTTTAGTCTTCTCACAAAAAATGTCAATGTATTATTAAGTTGGTTAAATTTTGATTAAGAAATTATTTTTGAAAAGGACATGGACCTAAATCCAAGTTTATTATGAAAGTGGTTCAAGTTTAAAAGCAAGAAGATTTTTCAAAAGGAGGGAGAAGATTTTTAAAGAGAAAAGTGCATAAAAGGCACAAGATGATTTGAATGAGTTAGAGTATTTTATTGGAAGAATATCGCAAATGGTCCTATGGTTGAATTTAAGGGAGAAATTATACCCTAAGATGTTATCAGGCCAAGGTTTCAAACTTATAATCTAACACAAACGTTCAAAGAGGACTTAATCATTTCATGACATTCCTAAGAGGAACATGGCAATTATCAATCAAACAATTAACTAAAAGAAATAAAATTTAATTCTAGTATTTTTTGCATTTTTATTATGTAAATAAAATTAACAAGCTCATGAAAAATATATCACAAATCAATTGATTAAAATAACTTAAATGGAAAATAAGCATAAAATAGAAAGAAATTAATGAAACAGGAGGTGCAAGCTCTAACTTACGGGTATGGAACAGCAAACCTGGCGCAAGGCCCAAGTCTGGGTCCAGCAAGATGATCTTTTTTTTTTTGCTCTAAAAGTAACAGGCTAAAAAAAAGATTGTGTAACGGGCAAGGGGTGAGGTCTGGTCTTAGCAGAATCTGTCCAGTAAGAGTTTTGTTGCACTTGGCTAATAGACTCCAAAAAAATGCTAACGGGCTCTGGGAAGAAGAATGGTTGCCATGCCCAGCGAAATTTGTTCTAAAAAACCAAAATGTTTTTTACAATTTCAATTATTATTATGAATTAACAAATAAAAAAATGGAAAATAACGAGGGAAGTAGAAACGATGTCGTTTGATGAAATGGGACTAGGGTTAGGAAGTTATGTCGAATCAACTTCCACAAACTCAACTTCTTCGTCTCTCTCGCAATGGCGCTGCGGAACTCATCCCTCGACTCAATGTTATCTTCCGATCCGTCGTCGCCATCAATATCCTTATGCAACCGTCTCAATCATATCATCTTACCGCTCACTCTCATCTTACCTCACGGAAGCACAAATCTACTGCTTCAACATCTTCATCTCGGATTCACGTTCGATTTAAACTCCACATCCTCATAATCGTCGATCCCAAATCAACCTTCTCTAATTGGTGCAACATCACAACTCCATCGTGAAGCAAACACGGCTACATTCTTCCCCTTCGATCTTGCTCAATTCGGCCATCTCAATCTCGCGTCATCCTCCGTCGTCTTGCTTCAAATTCCAATGAACTCACTATGTCAACACTGTATTATGAATAACATCTCAGGCTTCAACAACAAACTTCGTTCATCCACCGTCTCAAGCTTCAACGTTTCACTTTTGACATGGTTCCACTTCTGCTCGAATGCGTTTGTGATTTCGTTGCTCTGTCAATGTTTCGATCTCAGGTTTCAATTACCTCCATCATTTTCTTTAGCAATCATTTCATCATATCATCAATTTAGATCGAAAAGAGTTTGAAACAAAAAAGCAGTTTTGCTACTTTAAATCACAACATTCTGATTAAACGCGGAGGTAATGATAAATAGAGAATCAAAATTCCATGTCAGAGCAGCTCCGACGGCTCTTCAAATTGATGAAGATGATGAGAAAATTAGATAGCACTCTCTTCAGAAACTTAGGTACGAGTACCTCGCTTTATCACTTTGAATTCACGTTTCATTTGTAATTCATCTTCTTCAAATCTCTTCTACAAATTTGTTTCTTGTTTTCACTACAGTGTTGTATGAATTGTTGCTCTATGTGATTTTAAAATCATTGAAGATGATGATGATGTCGTTTTAATGAAGTATGAGTGATGTTGATTATCGTTCTAGAGAAGCAGATTCGGATTTGTTGATGAAGATGAAGCTGTGTAGGGAAGCAGATTCGAGAGTGAGTTTTGGAGAGATGAAGTTTCGAGAAGAGTTTAGGATGTGTGCAGAGTAAATTGTTGAAGCTTCAGAAATGAAATCGTTGAAACCTCAGAGAATTTTAGAGAGAACTCTGAAGCTTCTTTGAGAAGTTTTCAGCAGTGAAAATCCTCTCCCTCAGATTTGTGAATGAAGCCCTGATTTATAGTTGTTGGCTTGGCTTCTCTGAGAAGTTTGCTATAGGTAAAGTAATCTTGTCACTTGATATTAAAAATCTGTTATATGAATGAATGGATGGATTGCATCTGGATTTAGCTTGCACAATTTTTTGTTATTTTGTATTTTTGAATTTTGAAAAAAAACTGGCCATAACTTCTAGAGCATGCTTTTAATTCCTTTCCAAAAATCTGTTCTGCAATTTTCCTAACTGGTTTTGTTCTATTTTTTTGCTGAGCTGGAAGTTAATTTCTACGAATGTATTTCTGTTATGAATTTTTATTCGAAGTTCTATTTTCAGCTTTTCTAATTTTTCCGCTTTTTCTTTAAGTTGGACAGCCACGCATATTTATGTTGAATCCATTTTGGAGAGGTTTTGGACAAGTTTGGAATCAGTTCATGTAAGTTTGTTGACAGCATGGCGGTTTTCTTCTGTTTTATCGAGCCGACAAACATATTGTTCAGTTTTTTTTTTGCAGAGCAAACCGTGTGAGGCATCTTAACATCATTAGCTTTTATTGAAGCGAGGTTCAGGCAGCTTGAAGGTTTAGTGTTTTGTGTTGTTGGAAGAATTCTTGTCACGGATTCATTATGGGAATTGGTTTGAAAATTTAGCATTTGAAACTTGAGTTTTAGGATTGAGAACAAAAATCCCTTGTAATTTCTTGTTTGTACCATAACATGATAACTTGTAATGAATCTTGTATGATCTTTTGATTGTTGGATTTTGGATAACCTTGAATGAGATTTGAAATTATGATATGCCATGTCTTGAAATCAATGGACTTAAAACTTGGAATTTTGGTAACTTGCCTTGCATCCTTGAAGGACATTTGGAACTTGAATTATATTTGTATGAACTTGAATAAAAGGACTTTGAAACATCATGAATAGTTGTACTCTTTTTTTTTTTTGAGATTGAATTTGGAATGGAATTATTCTTTAATTTTTAACCTGCAATCTTGAATCAATGATGATATATGTCTCAAAGTTATCCGTATAATCTTATATTGAAATGAATATTATGGCTTGAGCTTGAAAGGATAAAAAAATGTTTGAATTTGTGGCACACCTTAAATTCCACATTAGGTTCCAAGTAATCCAAATACATGAACCTTCTAATTTGCAAAACTTAAAACAAATCCAATCCATTTGAGATGTCTTGATCACATTGACTTCCTCCAATCGTGTTCACTCTTTTAGCAATTCATTCTCCTAGTCCATAAAAGGAATAATTTGAAGAATTGAAGATGAAGACAAGACTTGAAGCATGGCAAAAGATAGCCTTAACTTGCAACCCTAACCATGATCTTCTATAGTCACAAGCTTAAACACAAAAATAGAAGAATCCATAAGATGATAAAGAACTATACCAAACGAGGAAAGACTGGTAATCCTGATAGACTGGAGGCAGAAACCTAGCTCAATAAAACATGGTTGAATAACCATCATCAATGCTCAGGCACAAGCATAGGAGAAAACCAAAATCCCTGGACTTTGAGCGCATGTGGATGAAGAAGGCTTGAGATGGTGAGAGGAATAAAACTCTAGTTCAAAATCAATTTCAATGAATTCATGATGAAATCTTAAGAACACAAGTTAAACCCTAATGCACTTGTTCTTCGAAGAAATTCTGATGAAGAAAACTTTGTACCTTGAGGAAAATATCCATGATGCCTTTAGATCCAAAACCCTAGTTTTATACCAAGAGTGATGAGAGAACCGGTTGAATCAATCATGAGGAAGGTAACAACCTCAATTCAGAGGGAAAACCCTAATGCCAAGAGCTTTTTGATTTCATGCTTTAAGATCTGAAATGAATGAAAGGTCTATAATGTAAATGAATATGATGTTATGAATGAACAAATTAGGCGTAAAAAATGGGGTATGACACGTGGCATCTTTCCTTGAGGGCGTAACTCAAAACTGTTTTCACAAGGGTTCATCACCCATAAAAAACACAAAACGAACAAAAACATGTCATCCGGAGTACGACGCTCTGATTCCTCGAAAGGGCTACGTAGGCAACAGGTCACGGGGCCTAACCGAGAAAAGTTCGTAAATACATCATTCTTTTCCCCGCATTTCTTTTGCATGCATTCCTACTCAGTAGTAAGCAGTAGACATGGATTAGAGACACCCTTAAGATAGATAACTAGAGTGGATACCATAGAGTACTACGGGTGTGTGGGGTGCTAATACCTTCCCCTCGTGTAACAGACTCTCTTACCCGATCTCTCGGTCGCAAGACCGTGACTTCTCTCTTCTCAGGTTTTTTCAATGTTCACCTTTCCCTTCATGTGGGATAAAAGACGTTCGATGGCGACTTTATTGTTTGATGATTTTCAGACGGTTGTTTCAGTTGGCGACTTCACTGGGGACAGGTTGACCATATGTTGGTCCATCCCGGAGTCGATCCTAGCTCTTGTTTTCTTTTCTTTGGGTGTTTATTTTTATGTTGTACAATTTATTCATTCATACATGATTACCTCAACATACGTATGCATTACATTTTACTATTTTCCATATACTATTGTTGTACTGGATCTTCTTCTTGATTGGATGGGTGTTACTAGAGGTAAAAGGCCCAGTACCCAGGCTAGAGTTGTATACCACTAGGAATACTAGGAATAGAGTGGAGCATGATGGCTACTGGACCCAGGTCCATACTAGCATATTCATGTGGTTTGCACTTGGTTGAGGTTCAAATGATTTATTATCATCATGCACGTCTGTTGTAACAACGATAGTATTCTCAAGAGGACTCATGATACCAGGCCACCTTTGCCTACCCTAACATAGTATTGACCCGTGAGTGGGGCGGGAATTATTATCATAGGTACCGTTGGTGACTATACTCAGATGGTGACTATGTTCTGTTGTGACCATATGGTTCTCGGATTTATTTTGAGTTCCTGACTTGTTTATTTAGAGGTTCGTTCGGGCCTTCGATCTTGGTATTTCCAACATGCTTAGAAAAGGCTCAGCAGTATCCGGTGTTCCAGAAGCCTTGATCTTATACAATTGATGATCTACATGGTACTTAGTTCTTGTATGTGTGGAAGCTATGTCAGACCTCTAATTTGGTGATATTCATATGGTTCAGAAACAGTGCAACAATCATATTTAGAAGTGATGGAACTTTGATCCCATGTCTTTGCATAAATAACATGGTTAACCACATGCTTAACATACATGCTTTTTTATTTTTGGGGAGTCATATTTGTAAGTCTTGTGCTGAAATTTTCCATCCCTTACCTGCGTAAAATCAAAATCAAAGCATATAAATTCCTTGGAAATGACAGAACATAACATGGCATCCATTCATGCACCCCATGCACACTCATGCATTCATAACATGTACTCAGAGTTGGGGATTCTTATTCTTACTTGGTATTCTCTTTAGAGTTACAAATTTGGATTCTTGTTGTCACATGTTCAGAGATCAGTTATGGAATAACTCGGTGGGGGATTTACTGATACGAAGATCCCGATGGGATTGATTGTGGTATACATGTAAGCTTTGGCCTGTGGTTGGAAATTCTTCGAGAATGAAGATAATCGATTGAAGACTCGGGTGAGCTGGGTCATAGAAGCTCCGATGATGATATCAACAATCCCACACCTACTGCCGCAAAAGAGTTTCTTTGTTCTCCTCATCTTTTGGGGATCGCTTTCAACCATGGATTGCTACACAATCTTGAGTTCTTGGAACATCTTATCAGCATATGGTTCCCATTTACTATGTGAATTCAAGAAACTTGTTTTACCAGTGAGATTAGAATATGCCTGAAGAGGAGTTGATCTTATATCAATGCTTCATTCTCATTGGTTTCTAAACTTGTTTGAGTTGCAGTGGGTTAGACCCCGTACGTCGGTACCGTCTATAAATTACCTTCCATATCATGATACCAACGTTAGATGTGGTTACCACATCGGGGCATCTGACTATTCAATCAGGGGCACTAATTCATGGGGCAAAGCTTTTAAGCAAAGACATAAGAAGCCTGATGAGCATGTTGATGCAATCCCAATGCAATACATCCGGTTATTTCCTCGCCTAGTGGAAGTTCAATTGGTAAAGCTCTAATATTTGGGGTCCTCCTCCCACAAACATCTCTTCTGATTGTGATACACATGCTAGATGTGTCCCCTGTTTTGAGGCACCCAGTTTTGATATTGAAGACTATAAAGGAGTTGAAGTATAAAGTCCAGCACCTGTCAGGCGTCTCTTCCAAAAGTCCAATTCCTATTTGGCCAACTTCCAGACTATTTCTCACCAACTGGATGTCTCTTATGTTGTGATAGAAGATGAATTGTATTGTTTCTTTATGGCATAAGACACTTGGTGATGCAGTTTATACCAATTCTCTTAGTAAAGCATTCATTCGTTCTCCTAAAATAGTCTTCTATGCATACTATTTTGAGGCACCTGACCATTCAATTGAAGATGGTATGTCATCCAGAGACAAGGTCCAAGACGGGATCAATTCAGAGACTGTTATGTTCACATTAGATCAGAAGGAGAATTCTCTCGCCCATTTAAGCATCAAGACTGCATAAATTCGTCAGAATTAAGAAGTCCATACAGATTTAAGTCTCCTCAACAATGGCAATCATTAGTTTCATTAATGCAATTTCATTTGTATTCTTGCTTGCTTGTTTAAACATTGCTTGCATGTAGAAACCTGTCTATTTTTTAATGAAAATATTAATGCAATAAGTTTTCTTGTCTTGAAGTGTTCCTTTCATTTTTATTCATCCATTCGTTATCACTCTTTAAATGTTTTACTTGTATATTGGTGCCAAGTTTCCAAGTCTTATGCTTAGGAAAAGATTGGAGGGAGGATGACAATAATCTAAAAACGCAAAAAAAAAAAATCTGGTTGGTATGCTTTTGAGTAAGACCCTGCTGACGATGTACAAGTCTTGTTTCAATTCATAAACACCATAGATATAAGGGAGATACACCCTCGTTAACCCCTCTGAGCCTTCGAAGTATGAGTTTATTTTTTATTCAGAAAAAACCCTCATTTTAACCCTGGGGAAGGTAGTGTTCAATTAATCTTATCAAGTGTTCCGAACTCATCGAAAGTGCACATCTAAGGATACAACATTGGTTATCCTTCAAAAGGTTGAGGAAAGTAAAAACCACAATGGCTAACTTTCACTTATCAAGAGTATGCGTCAATTAACGATATCTCAGTGGGTATCTCTCTCACATCAAGAAGTCGAGATCAGATGACGATACAAAAATGGGTATCTCTCATCTACCAAAGACTCAGACAGTCACGATCACTTACAACAAATTGAAGATCACGTAAAGATCAACTACTTGTTCAAACGGGAAAGTATGGATAAGAAAGAAACAAAAAGCCCTGCTAAGTCGAAACTTGAAAACAAGTCACTAAGGCAAAAGTTAGGGCATCCCGCTGGACTTCCAAATCGAAATTTAAAATAATTTGTCCAAGAAAAAGTTAGGGAAAGCGAGAAAGAAATTGAAAATCCTAAAAGGCGAGAAA